AGTAACCCTTACCAATTAAATAGTTTAAACTGTATGTCTTCACCGTTAATTACGGAACATTCCGTCACAAATAATCAGAAACCACTTAACTTTTGTGTCTCAACCATTTGTGACCCAATCATTAATCTGTTTAATCTGCCAATTTGTAAATCCGACTTTTCTACCTTGAGGACCCTACACAGCGCAAGTTTATTTGAACATATTGCCACGCCCACTCTAACGGCCGCCCACCAAACACGGAAAACCAAAAATGAAAGAATCTCGGGACTTATATGAGCTAGAAAGTTAGGCTTAAAAATGCGTATATAGAGATGCCACTGCAGCTTGCCACGATTTTTTATCAGTCCACGCACACTCTAACGCCCACAAACCGCGGAAAACTGTGTAACACGAATGCCTTCATTTGACCTTGTATAACCTATTTCTGTCAATATCTATCGATTTACCAAAGGTTGGTTTAATCGGAACATTATTTGGCTGTTTATGAAGAAATTTATGTTATAAGGCCTCACATGGCCAATAACGACACTATCAGTTACACTACATGGTAACTTTGACAACAGGTGGCGCTTTATAAATTAAGGTAAATTATGTAAGGGGTATCTTATAGTCGCGGCACTCGACTATGGCGTTTCTTCTTATTAATTTCGTCAGTTGATTGAATTGAAAGCGAATACCAGATTACATACGTATTTATGTTTGTTGGGGCTTCTTATTTTAATGCAGAGAAAAAAAATAATAAATAAATTATTCTATACGAAGTAGTTAAAAAGTAAAACGAAAAACTTTAAGCGCAGTCAAGAAAAGAGAAAATTTAAGATAGTAGACAAAAAATATTTTAAAGAAAGGGAAAAAGGGAAAAAATATATATATTAAAAACAATGCCCCCAAAAGTAATGGAAATCCTATCTTTTGCACAGGGGATTTTATTTTAAGCGGTTCAATATGAATACTGCGTCATTATCTTGTACAGCGAGCGTGCCTAATGCCATGCGATTTTTTGTGGAATCTGAGCAGTTATTGCGTAATTTTTGGGACAGTAGTTATACTTAGAGTCAATACCATTTATTAAGGGTCAAACTGACTGACGAAACCGTTATTTATATACTTGCTCTACTTAGTATATGTAGTAAATTTTAAATTTAAATTTCTGAAAGCAAACTTACAGATATTTATCTAAATGGAGACTCTAGTTGTTTCTGGAAAAGCTTCCACGGTTGTTGTGCCAGAGGCCGGAAATGATTTTACGCTTCAATTAGCTGTTTTCCTTCCCTGCAACTCTTTCAACTTTACATTTTCATACTAAAATTAGATGATTCCGTACAAGTAACGAAATCTCAACTTGTAATGATGGCAAAAGACTATTAGAGTAATCACCTATCACGACGAAACCCATTACTCCGCTAGGTGGTGCTATACCATAAAAAAATGTAGTAACCATAATGGGTTTTATTGTATAAATTTTATTTATTATGAGCGGAACTAAAAATTAGTAATTCCGATCAAATCCGCTGTGTGGCTTCATTGGCATTTTGTGGTTGCTGTGGCGGTCGAATTGTTTGCATCTGCTTACGAAAAAATAAAGGTTGCAGTATCTAAGCTTGCATCGATGTCTTCCAAAGGGCTACCATAAATCACTTGTGCAATCATGACATGTGTGTGATACATAGACATAGGGATGTGGTTCCGTGCAGTAAATTCAAAAAAGCTCGGATTCCGCTAACTGTGCTTCCTAAATTTCCTGTAGAGTGCTGACACTGGCATAGTAATTGCAAAGCCCAAGGAAAGCGTTTTCGGTAGTAAACTGTAAAATGCCTTCCCTTATACAAGTTTTTATTTTTATTTATTTATGTTCTCCTACCTATGTCTTAGTTTCTCTCAGAGCCGCTGTGGGGCGTCTTAGGCTGGACCCCCATAAAAATATTCTTCTATATACGAGTATTTTTATCCGTTATCGTATAAAAACTGCTTCTAAACTAGGGACTGAAAGGCATCCTCCTAATTTTTATATACTTTTCAACGAGTTCAATATAACGCTTTATTCTACGAGTAACAGGTATAACATGAAGAAAAATTGCTGTTTTAACCAATTTTAAAATCATAATCATAATCACTGCTCACTGAAGGCCTTATGGAAAATGACCTCAGGAGTCTTAGGTTTTTTGTCGTTGTAGAGAACGTGCTGAGACACACTTCCTTAATCCCAACTTTCTATGTCTTGCAGTTTCTGAGATCTAATGGTTCATACGGGCACCGAGCGTGTCTAATGCCATGCGATTTTTTGTTGAAGCTGAGCAGTTATAGCGCCATCTTTGGGACAGTAGAGTTACTTAGAGTCAATGCCATTTATTAAGGGTCAAACTGACTGACGAAACCGTTATTTATATACTTGCTCTATTTAGTAAATCTAGTAAATTTTAAATTTAAATTTCTGAAAGCAAACTTACAGATATTTATCTAAATCGAGACTCTAGTTGTTTCTGGAAAAGCTTCCACGGTTGTTGTGCCAGAGGCCGGAAATGATTTTACGCTTCAATTAGCTGTTTCCTTCCCTGCAACTCTTTCAACTTTACATTTTCATACTAAAATTAGATGATTCCGTACAAGTAACGAAATCTCAACTTGTAATGATGGCAAAAGACTATTAGAGTAGTCACCTATCACGACGAAACCCATTACTCCCGCTAGGTGGTGCTATACCATAAAAAAATGTAGTAACCATAATGGTTTTTATTGTATAAATTTTATTTATTATGAGCGGAACTAAAAATTAGTAATTCCGATCAAATCCGCTGTGTGGCTTCATTGGCATTTTGTGGTTGCTGTGGCGGTCGAATTGTTTGCATCTGCTTACGAAAAAATAAAGGTTGCAGTATCTAAGCTTGCATCGATGTCTTCCAAAGGGCTACCATAAATCACTTGTGCAATCATGACATGTGTGTGATACATAGACATAGGGATGTGGTTCCGTGCAGTAAATTCAAAAAAGCTTGGATTCCGCTAACTGTGCTTCCTAAATTTCCTGTAGAGTGCTGACACTGGCATAGTAATTGCAAAGCCCAAGGAAAGCGTTTTCGGTAGTAAACTGTAAAATGCCTTCCCTTATGCAAGTTTTTATTTTTATTTATTTATGTTCTCCTACCTATGTCTTAGTTTCTCTCAGAGCCGCTGTGGGGCGTCTTAGGCTGGACCCCCATAAAAATATTCTTCTATATACGAGTATTTATATCCGTTATCGTATAAAAACTGCTTCTAAACTTGGGACATCTACATAATCAAGAAGGGACTGAAGGGCATCCTCCTAATTTTTATATACTTTTCAACGAGTTCAATATAACGCTTTATTCTACGAGTAACAGGTATAACATGAAGAAAAATTGCTGTTTTGACCAATTTTAAAATCATAATCATAATCACTGCTCACTGGAGACCTTATGGAAAAAGACCTTAGGAGTCTTAGGTTTTTTGTCGTTGTAGAGAACGTGCTGAGACACACTTCCTTAATCCTGCAGTTTCTGAGATCTAATGGTTCATACGGGCACACAGAGCGACAGAGGGGCATGGCAAAATCTATCCCCTATGGACCACATTTTTATGCGGTTACTCATAGAGTAAATGGGTATATTAGGTTTGTTAATAAGTATGTAACAGTTAGAAGTAAGTCGATAAAGCCATGTCCGTCTGTTCGTCCGTCCGTCCGGCTGTCCGTATGAACGCTTAGGTCTCAGGATATAAGAGATACGCAGTTGAGGCTTTTGACAGATTCTGGAGGTCCATACGCAGCTCAAGTTTATTTCAGCATCCTGCCACGCCCACTACAACGCACAGAAAGTGCGAAAAACTGTGTCTTCCATAATATTATAGTGTAGGTCTTTGTTTGACCTTGTGTAACATATTTCTGTCAATATCTATTGATTTACCAAAGATTTTTTAAATCGGAAAATTATTTCGCTCTTTATGAAGAAATGTACGTAATAAGGCCTCACATTGGCAGTGACGTTACTATCAGTTACTCAACATGATTTCTCTGAGAGTAAATGGCGCATTATGAATTTTCAGTGGCAAAATTAATATTTTAAAATTGTGTAAAACAGAATCGGGTATCTTATAGTTGCGGCACTCAACTATAGCGTTTCTTCTAGCCCAAATTCTAGGCCAAAAGTTGTTTATAACCACCCTTAACTTTGAAATAAAAAGTTTTAATTTTCTTTTTTCAAAATTCAGATAAAGCTAATAATTAATATTTTTTCAAAATTTATATTCATTTTTACAAAAAATATTTCCGTAAAAACCTTTTAATTATTTGTTTTCTTAATAAAAAGCCCAGCCAGTCTTTTAGTTTTTTTTTGTCACCTCCATTTGTTCTACCCATCTTTTAAAGTAAAATTTGTTAAACAGTTAAATAGTTTTGAGGGCTACACTTTGTTCTGGCTATCTGCACTAAAATTCATTTTTAGCATTGATTTTAACAAATATTTTATTTCCGATTTTTTGCCATGGCATTCGCAACCATCGTTTGGGTGCAATCCGGGTCTATCTCGTAATATACTATACATATTCCTAGCAATTTTGTGCAAAACTATGCCATTATTTAAAATGTCGTAAAAAGAACGTTATCCAAATTGAGGTGATCAACAAAATACTAAAAATTTTTGAATTAACAGACATCGATTTAATGCGGCGACATAAGCGCACGTGCCTTTTTAAAAACATCTTAAACATTTGATGAATTACAAAATTTTTAATCGGAGCATCGGCTCTAACAAATGATTGAGGGTAATTTTAAAAGACAACACAATAAATAATTTCGTAAAGGCTTTTTTGGCAAAGAGCTTTTACAGTCAGACTGGCCTTAAAAGCGCAGTTCTGCTCTTTCAGTCGGACATGGAATAAGGAAAGTTAGAAGAGTCACACTCTAAACACTAAAATATGTGGTTCTCTTAAAAGCTCCAGCATCTCTTCATGGCTTTAAAAGCTACATCGACGACGTGTGTCCGGATCCAACGCATCCTACGAAAATGTTAGTCTTTCCAGCATCTTACGACCTAGCGGCCAGATCACCGGTGTGTAAGGCGCACAAATATTAATCAGTTAATATACGCTGTCAAACTGGCCGTTTTAAATAATCAGAGTAATTCTACGATTGAAGTGGATTTCGGCGGTAAAACATATATTAGTTAAATCGCATCTGGGATCATTGATATTTTTTTAGCCTATAAAATCGATATAAAATTAAAAAATATGTTTAAAACGATAACAAAAACATTGATACTAAATATAACATATTGAATATTTTAATTAAAAAAAACTAATAATTTAGTATATTCAGCATAACCGATAAACAAACAAATGTTTATAGTATTTAAAAAATAATAGTTATTTGTGCAAAACAAAAAAAAAACAAAAATATATCTATAATATTTGACCAGAAAGAATTAATTATCCATTCTACAATAAAGACATATATGAGGATAGACAAGGCTGCCAATGACCATTAGGAATATAAATCAATCCATAAAGGTATTTATTATACTTCCAATAATTCAAATTTCGTGAATCAAAGCAACAGAAAAAAGCTTAGGAAATAAGAAATAAATACAACAATTTTTTGTCACCTAACTATAAAAAAATATTTTTCAAGGTAAATAAAATGCAGAATGATGTTAAAATATTTTTTTTATTTTAAAAAAAACTTGGTCTATAAGGTATTTATTATACGTCCAATAAATTTCGCCAATAAAACCAACAGTAGTTTTACAAAAGTTTTTTCGTCACGTAAAATCCAGAATGATGAAAAATACTATTTTTATTTAAAAAAAATTGATCTGTCATATTGTGTTTTTACGCTGATCGACAAATTTTATTTAATTTTTAGAAATCGCTAGTGTGGAAAAGAAAATAACTTACTTTACATAATATTAGACCATTTTTTTTATCAATTATCATTTTTTTCTGAAAACTTACAATATTACACATTATTAATAATCGCAATATCTTAATAATATAAGGTAAAAAATATTTTCGATAAAGTACCTTTAGCTTACAGAAGCCATTCGATGGTTTGCCCACAAGATAGAAGGGAACCTATAACTTTATAAAAATAAAAACAAAGAAATGTTTTTAAATTATGAAAATACAAAATAAATTGGGGACGAGTCTTAGCATTTAGTAGTGTAAAAAATAGATTGTGGTCCTCAAACATAATCAATACGCACATCACATTAAAAAAAATTATGGTGTTAAAAGAGAAATTTATACGACCGTATAAGCTAATAAATAAAATTGAAAACTTTTACGGCATTCTTGTGAATATTTGCATACACACTGTTCCACTTTTTCATATCTTATAGTTCCCAAAATCCCAGCCTTCATACGGAACACATAATAAAGAACGAATGTAAAAAGCTCCTACTATGAATGGGCAAAAATAGTCGTAAGTCAACAAAAATCTTGCGTGGTATAAACATTAATAACACACTAACCAATAAAAGACTAACTAACTAAATTATACGTTTTCTATCAATTTCTATCACCTTTTGTCCGAAAAAACATGTTTTCTTGGGGAAAATTTTTTTTACCTTATAGAGTCGTATAGGTATTTTAGGTCTAACAATACATACATGATACTCTTTCAACACACAACTCTTAAAGTGCCATGGCCCTAAGTTAATCCTCAATCCTCAAGAAAAATCCTGCAGAGTAAACACTTTAACCTGCGTTGATTTTCTTGCTTGTGTTGCTTATATATCGTTCGTTAAGGTTACGGGTAACTTATATCTAATACGAACAGAAAGATATAGTAAATGGGATACCGAATACTTCCGTACGATAGGGAAAAAAATTCAAAATTATATGATATAAAATGTTATAGTAATAGTAGATAGCAGATTTATTTACATCTAGGCCAAGTTAAATGGCCGCAAATTAAGTGAAGGCCTAAAAAGTACATACACTAGCCGACCTAATTATTTTGACGAAAAACAAATGCAAGGGAAAATTTGTATATGATATTTTAAAGGTTTATATAGCAATGAAATTTTTTTGTTTTACCAAAAGTCCAAGGGGAACTTATTAAGAACTATTTTGACAAGTACCTTTTAATATGAATAACAAAGTTTAAACTTAAAAAAAGTAAAGGAAAAAAGAAATTTAGTAAAATATATAATTTTCTTTGGTTTCAAGAGGGTTCTGCAAGAGTCACGGTACTAAAACAAATTTTTTTTTTTGGATGACGTCTAGAGATATCCCTTTCCAAAGGGAAGTGATCTTAGAAATTGTCTTCTCTTTGGTTTTATTCATCGATACTGTCCTTTGCGTTGATAACAGAAATTTACTAAATTATACTCAAATCATCAACATTTTTTCAAAAATCTTCTTGGCTTTGTGGCATGTTGCGTTTTCCTATTGCAGGGTAAAGTATTATCCAGACAAATATTGGCGTTGGTTCATCGATCCAGTGAATGGTACGAAGATAGCCAGTCCATTATACGCTACGCATCCCCACAACAACACCATGGCTTATTTTTTGGCAAACGGGCCGCCTTCTACCATTGTACAATGGGCTATCTTACAAACTAATAATTTTTTTTAGGAATTATACTTCAAAACTCCCTTAACTTATGGAGATGTTCCTTTGTCCTTGGCTTATGAAGTCTTTAAATCAAATTCCTTTAATCGTCGATTGTCTGTGCACTCACTAATTGGGATCTTAGCTGTCAAATTAAATTGATCTGCTGCAGATTGAGGCTTCAGAAAAACCATTTTTTTAAATTCCCGACCAATAACTCAGTCTTCGCTGATATCTGTACTGCTCTTAGCACCTAATCTTCTTAAATTACCCATGTTATTATGCTTTTTAAACTTTTTAATTTGGTAGTGCACAGTTTGACGCGGCACAATAAACTTATTGGCAATGGCTTTAACTGCTATTCCAGCGTTACATTTTGCTACCATTGAACTTAGCTCAGCCGATTTACTCATGTTGTTTAATTATTTTTAATAAATTTATATTTTAATAACAATTTGTAATATTGATCAAAGCTAAACACAGAAATGGTTTAATTCTCTCGTGGCTAAAAGTGTGAAAATATTTTTAAAAAGGTGCTGTCATAATATTTTTAGCCACGCAAAAAACCGTTGTATGCATGCATTCCTATCAGCAAAAAAAACTTACATGTAAATTTAGGTGTATCCCTAAAAACAGTTACGTACCTTTTGCCTCTTTGCTGAAACTTGAATGTAAATCTTTATCAGATAAGCATACATACATAAGTAACATGAGTACATAGGTACTTGAGAATATCTGAGAGGTGGGACGAAGAGATCAGCGATTAGTTTCTGCGTTGCCAGCACCTGATAAACTAATTAACTAAAGTTGTCGACCATAAATATTCTCATTAAAAAAAACAACATTTAATACTAATCTATTACTATTACAGAATAGACTCACAGATTTTCGCGACTAGTGGGCGTAGACAGTTGCTAGATGCTGTCTAGGCATCTGCAGAATATGCTTGCAGAAAAAACCACTTCCTATCTATTATATATCCTGAGATCTAAGCGTATGACAGAGAGTAGGACGAGCGAAAAAACGTTCGGGCGGTCGGCAACAAATATAAGATCATATTGCCTTTCGGAGAGTTATAGACAGGTAAACAAAATTTAAAAAGACCATCAGCAAAGACACGATCAGATAAAGGTGTGGAGACAATAAAATCAATTGGACAGGATTAGCTTTGCAAAGAATTTTTAATTTTTCCATTAAAATCCAAATCAATATCCGGTGTGGTTATAAATTTAAATCAAGCAAGAAATAGGTCTTTCTTTTATCGAACCACGAAATATTTCTAGCAATTTTTGTTAGACTGGCGGTCTCAAAGGGTACTCTAGACTGAGCAGTCTCATAAGGGATAAATGACTTAGGTGACCTTTGGTTAATGATGATAAAAAAATTGAATTGATTTTGTTTTTTATTGAGAAAAATACCTCATTTGTTTCTGATTTTTTAAGTGTCCCCGATTTTTTACCAATTTGCGTAAACAACTAGAAGAGTGAGAAATGTGTCGTTACTCTTAAACTGAAGTTTTAAATCATGCTAAATTTGCTTCCCCAAATTTGTGTTAAAAAACTTAATTACTTCTATTTTACAGATTTCTTCATCAGACCGTTTTAAAACCACTTGAATGGATTCTTCAAAAATCACACACTTTTCAAAAGTTTGAAGGTCACTTAACACTTTGAAAGGTCTTCGATAAATAATTCTAACCAATGTAATTTGCTTAAATGTTGGTTTTTAGCCCTTCAGACAACCATAATTGCAGAAAAAAAATTAAATAAAATTTGAAGATAAAATTTTAGTACAAAAAAAATCGTAAATCGTAGTTTTAGAAAAATTGGTCGAAAACCAGTGAATTCACTTCCCCCTTGATCACAACTGAGCCCTTAAGCTGCGACTTTGTGATGGAGTGGCGCCTGGATTGGAATAGAAAACCGTTTTATCCTAGACAATTTCAGCTTCATGTCGTACTTCTTGGCTGGGTCTTAATATGGGCGCAGTTCCTAAGCTGCGTTTTCTGTGGTGAAAAATTAGGTAAGGAGTAAATAACTTTTGAATTTAATTCAGTTTTATTACCATTATTTAAAATGTTTGTGTGTATGTAATTGTTGTTGTATTGTTTAAATTAATGACCAGTTTATAAAAACGTCCCCAGAGAATCATAAGAATACCCAACTAATTTATTCGCAGACAAATTCTGCATCGTGTGTTTAAAAAAATGAGCAAGTCTCCGAGTATCACTAGTAAAATTTTTATTCACTAGCTAATCGGAGATTTAAATGACCAATTCAATACAAAAGATTCATTAATAATAAATTTAATTGCAGTAAAATTAAAAAATCATATAAACTCACTTTTGCAGAGTAGAAAAATGAATACAAATACATATTATGGACGCCACAGTTTTGTGGGCGTTACAGTAGCCGTGGCTTGATCGGAAAAACAATTCGCATAAGGGGTATCTTAAAAACCTTCATGCTTAATCCAAACTTTATATCAGTTATAGTTACCGAGATGTCAGCTTTTCTAGAAAATATGAAAACCGTCTCGATTTACAGTTCGAGTAACGGGTATAAATACTCGATCTCTCACAAGCCAAAACTTCACAACTTACCCTCAATTCGATAAAAAAAAACGAATTCATCAGCCAAAACCTAAAATAGCTTTAAGGATTAGTCGCTGGTCTCTACAGCTGACATTCACATCGTTAATTCCCAGAGTAACCCTTTAATTTTGTTTGGCTACTCGTACCACAAATCATTCATTCATTTAAATAAATATGGGAAAAGTTACGACTTTTGACAGAGAAGATAACTCTATGTTCGTAAGGGTCTACAATGGTGGCATTTCGAGACCGCAGGGGTTGATGTAAGCTTGGAACGCCAAAAGTGACTATTTTAATGTTCGGTTGACACGAGTTTTAAAAGAAGAAGTATAAGATTGTAGCACTTCAGCTTGTCGTGTTGTGTATACGACATTAATTTTCGCCGTTAAAAATTCATTATAATTAATTTAAAATTTTAAAGGAATAGAGTTGATCAAATAAAATGTTCAGCTTGAGTTCATTTATTGATTCTAAATTCTTCATTCTTGATTGCCAACCCCAATCACCAATAACAACTAAACGCGATAACGCAAGTAACTTCAGTAATGGGCAATTACATGACAATCCGGAAAGATTCCTGATGCAACGTTCTAGAAGTGGAGTATCCAGGAATCTGATAATATGAATATTGTTAAAATTATTAAATAAAAGGGATACCATAATAAAAATAAGTATATTTAATTTTGAATACAAACAACATTAAATCGCTTTAGTGTTGTGCCGCGACTTTAAGATACCCGTTACTATCTTGTCCAATTTAAAAAAAAACAAGAGGAAACGCTATAGTCGAGTGCCGCGACTATAAGATACCCGTTACTGTTTTACACAATTTTAAAATATTAATTTTGCTAGTGGAAATTCACAAGGCGCCGCCTATTGTCAGAGGAAGTATGTTGAGTATGCTTTTAGTGACGTCACTGCCCATGTGAGGCCTTATAACTTTAATTTCTCTATAAATAGCGAAATAATGTTCCGATTTTAAAAATCTTTGGTAAATCGATAGGTATTAACAGAAATAAGTTATACAAGGTCAAACGAAGGCATTCATAATAATATTATAGACGCCACAGTTTTCCGCGGTTTGTGGGCGTTAGAGTGGGCGTGGCCGGATGCAACTTCGTAGCAAGTTGTAGAGGCATCTCTTGAATACGTGTTTCTAAGCAAAATTTTGTAGCTCTTATAGCTTTTGAGATTTTTGCATTTTTGGTTTTTCGGGTTTTGTGATCGTTAGGGTGGGCGTGGCTTCATCGGAAAAAAACCAATTCGCATTGCAAAGCATTATTAAAACCTGCATGCTTGATCCGAACTTTCTATCTCTTATAGTTACCGAGATATCAGCTTTTCTAGAAAATCTGAAAACCGTCTCTTGAGCCTTGTGGGCGTATAGTAGTACCACTATAAGATGCGCTGGCATCTAAAGATTATACTTTCTGAATTTCAACTTTCTAACTCCAATAGTTCCTGAGATTTCAGCAATTTTAGTTTTTTGCGATTTGTGGGCGTTAGAGTGGGCGTGGCAGGATGCTGTAATAAACTTGCGCTGTCCCGGGACCTCAAGAATCTTCATGATTAATCTCAACGTTGTATCTGTTGTAGTTCCTGAGATCTCAGCGTTCATACTGACGGACGGACGGACGGACGGACGGACAGACGGACGGACAGACGGACATGGCTCAATCGACTTCGCTATTGATCCTGATCAAGAATATATATACTTTATAGGGTCGCAAACGCTTCTTTCTATCTGTTACATACTTTTTAACGAATCTAGTATACCCTTTGACTGTATGAGTAACAGGTATAAAAACAGAAAAAGCTGTTTAATGATACTTGTGGTGTCGTCAATGCCCATTTGAGGCCTTATAGCCTAAACGTCCTAAAAATATATGTAAATAAATAATGTTCCGATTTGAACGGTTTTTGGTATAACGATAGATGTTTACAAAAAAATGTTATACAAGGTCAAAGGAAAACATGAATCTTAATAGCGTGACCAGTTCCACCATGCCAGGCTATGCCATTTCAAGAATATATATGTTTAATCCTTTTTAGCTCTTTTAGTTTATGAGATCTTATCGATTTTATTTTGATTTGTGATTTGCGGGGGTTATAGTGGCCTTGGCAGGATTCATCAATAAACTTGTGCTGCGTAGGCATCTCAACAAACTGCAATCCTTACTTTATATCTGATATAGTTCCTGAGATCTTATTCGGACAGCAGGACGGTCGGGCAGATAGACGGACATTTTAATTGCAAAGAGGTACAATAATTCAGTAATTTTGATTAGTTTTTAATCTACATGAATAAAATTGATTTTACTCAAGCATAATATAAATTTAATAGAAAACAGGTTAATTAAAAAATAGCTATCTAAAGGGTTTAGTAACTCAGTTCAACATTTTTAAAGTATTCGGTTGAAGTCCGTGCTTTAGCAAAGTTTCATCTTAAAATCTTTTGCTGTTACCCAAAACAATCAAAATCTTGTTATACACAAAACAACAGTCCATTTTAACCAACTTTATTTGTGGAGACCACTCGGAAAATAATTTCTAAACAATTACAACGTTTTTACAAATCATTCCGAAATAGAACATAAGGTTCTGATTTGAAAATTTGTTGTGCAAAAGGTAGTAAAAAGATAAGTTAGTTCTAAGTAAAAAGATCAATCATATTTTAATTGACAGCCATTGTTTTTTTAAAAACTAATAACTCCAAAAGAAATGACCCATTTACAAAAATTTGTATATCTATGAGTTTAAATAATATGAGAATTTTTAAAACTAAATCAAAATTGGAACATCAATATGAATAATTTTATAGGTCGTCCCCGATTGGCACAAAAAACATATTTTAAATTAACTCAAGTTGTTATACCCGTTACTCGTAGAGTAAAAGGGTATACTAGATTCGTTGAAACAGATAGAAGGAAGCGTTTCCGACCATATAAGATGTATATATATTCTTGATCAGGATCAATAGCGAAGTCAATTGAGCCATGTCCGTCTGTCCGTCTGTATGAACGCTGAGATATCAGAAACTATAAAAGATAAAAAGTTGAGATTTTTGTCAGATTCTTGAGGTCCATACGTAGCACAATTTTTATCTTGAGATGACAGCGCATCTTATGTTGGTACCATTGTCCGGCCACACCCACTCTTACGCCCAACCAGCTAGAAAGACGATTTTTTTTGTAGAAGAGCTGATATCTCGGTAACTATAGGTGATAGAAAGTTTGGATTAAGCATGTAGGCTTGATACCCCATTGCCAACGCTTTTTTCCCATCTAGCCACTCCTACTTTAACGGTCACAAAACCAGGAAAACCGAAAATGCGAAAATCTCGGGAACTATCAGAGCTTGAAAGTTGTACTTATGAATAACTATTTTAGAGATGCCACTGCAACTCGATATCCGGACACGCCCACAAACCGCGGAAAACTGTGGCGTCCATAATATTATAATGATTCGTTTGACCTTGTATAACATATTTTATCCATATCAATTAAATTACCAAAGATTGTTTCGCCTCACATGGGCAGTAACGTCACTATCATTTACTCAACATGCTTTCTTTGATAATAGTTGGCGCTTTGTGAATTTCCACTATCGAAATGAATATTTTAAGATTGTGTAAAACAGTAACGGGTATCTTATATTTGCGGTACTCGACTTTAACGTTTCTTCTTGCTTACATTAATATTGGTGCTATAATCAACTTTAAAGCTCTTATAATTATCAAAATCTCAACGCTCATATGGGCATGACTAAATCGAGCGATTATTGAACCTGACAATTATTATTACAATAATAATTTTGTTAATTTAATTTACATGAATAAAATTAATTTCACTCAAAAATAAGATAAATTTGATAATAATTGAATTAAATTTTAGTTTTAGTTTAGTTAGTTATTCGTGTTACATATGCTTCATCGTAACTTTCTAGCTCTTATAGTTTCCGAGATCTTAGCGTTTTTCATTTTTTGCGTTTTATGAAGCGCGGCCAGATGTGAAAATGTATGTATGCGCTCTCGTGGCAGTATTGGAAATTACATGCTTAATTTAAACTTTCTTATAGTTACCGATGGGCGTAAGATTCCATGCAATTGCACAACATTTTATAGGGTCATATCACTCACCTTAAGCGCTAATAACGTTAGTTAAGATGAGCCAAAAAATATCCGAAACGCAGATCGATACAAAAATTTTTTGGAGAAGGTATTTTCTCATTAATGTTTGGAGAGCACGTCATCAAGAAGGAAAAGAAATCATTTGAAAAGACAGCCAACAATAGCTTTAAATTTTTATTGATTGAATGAGAGCTTATTTCCTAGTTTTCAATCTTTTGACAAATGCGGAGTGGTACAATTTTAGGTTATCAGCCCGACCATTACACGCTTATTTTAAAAACATTAATTTATTTAAAAAAT